GGCCTGGGGCGCGCAGAGGGTCCACTCCGGGGCCCAGCCCTCTGCGCGGCAGAGGGGACTCAGCCTGGACGCCCGCGGGCTCCGCCGCCCTGCCCGCCTACCGTACACCGAGATGGCGCCCAGGATGACCCAGGCGGACCACTCGGGGAGGTACTTGATGAACACCAGGGCCATGAGCGCGCTGATCATGATGAGGTACGCCTGCTGCAGCACCAGCGGCCCTTTCCAGTGGATGCACACCATGCCCACCGCCCCGAAGTTCCAGACGGTCAGGAAGAGGGTGGGGTAGTCCATGGCCACGTTGTAGGTCTTGAGCACTTCTCTGCGGGGCCGAAGCCGAGCCGTGGGGTGGGGTCCAGGCAGCCAGACGCCCCGGCCCTGGGCCTCTCGCCTCCCGGCTTCACTTGCCGACGCCTCTCACCCCGTTTCCAGAGCCCCCCCACTTCCACCTGAAGTAGTTTCTAGAACAGGTGGAAGAATAGCTGAGGCACGCACACGCGTGTCCGCGTGACGTGGCCGCCCTCCGCCACGCAAGGGGCCCTCCGGAAAGTGACCGCTCCTCTACTCCGGGGCCTGGGCCCAGGCGCGGGGCGCTCGAGCGCACTCCCCACCAGGGAAGAACCAGCCCAGCCTGACAGGAGAACGTCAAGCTCAGGGGCCGCCACCTTCTTTGGGTCCAGGGAGACCTGCTACGTCCTTGAAGCCTGTGCTGTTGTCCTCAAGGCGGGGCCGGAGCTGCGCGGCGACCCTGGGCCCCTCTCAGGCTGCGCAGGCCCTGCCAGCGGGCACCTGCCCACCGGCTCCCCCAGGGCCCTGCCCCCACCAGCCGCCACTTACCCGAGGTAGATGTAGGTGAAGAGGAACAGCAACATCAGCGAGGACATGATCAACCAGCCGTGGATAAACTGGACACAGAGGCAGGCAGTGACCCCGGGGCGCGCCCACATCACGCGACGCCCGGGCGACAGCCCAGCCGAAACCCTTCCCCGCTGGGCCCCTCCGAGACTGGGCTGGAAGGTGCCAGGCGGCCACCTGACAGGCCACGGGCGCGAGACGCCAGGAGCGCTCTCCGGCCGGCCGCCAGCAAGCACAGGAGCGGCCGCGACGCTCGGGGCCGGGCTCCCCGGGCAGCGGACAGAAGAGCCGCGCCAGTGCGGAAGGCTGTGAGCAGAGCGACGGGGCGGCCGCAGGACAGGGCGAAGGGGCCACCAGGGACGC